GAATGGCCCAGTCAGCCATGTGGTTGATTGTGCCCGCCGATGTGAGGGCCTTTCACTCCCCCCCCACACACACACCTTTCAGCACCTGGCCAGGTATGGTTTTTATTTGATATTCTACTTTCTTTCCTAAGTAGAAGGAAGCTCATGTTGGTGGGCTCGGATGAGTATGGCTAGCAGAGCCCAGCTCTCTTTCGCCAGGAAGAAGCATAGAGAACCAAGAGGTATCTAATACACCTGGCACGTGGCCACTCGGTGCGACAGCCCCTCGGACACCTCCTGGCTCTCGAACTCGAGCTTTCCCTCCTAGACAAAGGCCGTCGTAAAGCCGCAAATCCCGGACGTTTCGGGGCCATCCCCGACTGTAAGCCCGTCGAGGTCCAGGGCGGTCCTGAGCGCGGTGCCCACCTCTCACCCCGGTGCCCAGAACGCCGACCTGCGCCTCCCGCGCTGAGCGCGCGCCGGCAGATTGGGATGGAGCAGGGGGCAGGGGGACACGGCGCGTAGACGGGCCACAGGACCGCGCTAAGGTGGCGGTGGTCAGCGCCCCGCGGGGCCGGGGGAGGGGCGCCAGGCCGCTCCGTCCAGACGGGCGCCAGCTCCCCCCGGGCGGGCGGGTGGGCACCCACCGACAGCGGGCACACAAAGCCTGCTCGGCGTGCTCGGCGATCGGCTCCTTACGCCTGTATCGCCGCTTGCCGCCAGGCGGCTCCAGGTTGGGCGTCGGGCAGTGGCAGGCACGGGGCGTCCAGAAGCTGCACGCATCAAACTGCCGCGGGAGGGAGCGCGGAGGGGGAGGAGGAGAGTGGGAAAGGGAGGAGGGAGTCGGGAGGAGGAGTGGGGACCGGGCGGGGGGTGGAGGAAGAGGCCTCGCGCAGAGGAGGGAGCAATTGAATTTCAAACACAAACAACTGCACGAGCGCGCACCCACCGCGCCGGAGCTCTGCCCCGATTCACGCCCGCCCCGTCCGTGCGGCGCGCGGGCGGAGACGCCGTGGCCGCGCGGGAGCTCGGGCCGGGGGCCACCATCGAGGCGGGGGCCGCGCGAGGGCCGGAGCGGAGCGGCGCCGCCACCGCCGCACGCGCAAACTTGGGCTCGCGCTTCCCGGCCCGGCGCGGAGCCCGGGGCGCCCGGAGTCCCGCCATGTCGCGATCCAACCGGCAGAAGGAGTACAAATGCGGGGACCTGGTGTTCGCCAAGATGAAGGGCTACCCACACTGGCCGGCCCGGGTGAGCTGCGGGGCCCGCCGCCCTCTACCCCCCTTCGGGCTTGGGTTGCATAACACCCGCAGGGCACTAGCGCCTCGCGCCGGAGGGGGTGGCGGGGCGGGGGGCGTCCGAGTCTCCGACTCTTCCCGAGCGCCTGAGCCCACCCGCCGGTTATATAATGGTGGGGGCGGGGGAACACCTGGCGAGTTCGGCGTCCGCGCGTAGAGGCGTGTGCGCGGCGTGGGGACCCGGGGCGCGGGGCACTTCCCGGCCCCCGGCTCCGCGTGCTCAGTTCCGCCCCCAGCCCCCATCGTCCCAGCGGTTTCGGGTGCGCTGGTTGCATTTGGGCCCCTCGTGTAACTCCTCCCATCCACCTCCGGGCGCCACCGCTGCCCTCCCCCTCTGGAGCCCCGTTGGAGACCCCCGGGCTCTTCCTTGACGGTTGCCCCAGGATCAAAACTCCCCTTCCTGGGTTAAATGGCTAAGGAGGATACCATCCCAGAGAAGGATAGATGGAGGCGGAGTTCGCGGTAGAAAACTTTTGGTTTGAGGCGTCTCAGAGGTTGAAGTTGGGAGGGTCGAGGAATGGTTGGTGGTGGTGTAAGAGGGGATCTACCTGCCTGCGAAAGAAATGGACCACTGGGACCTTTCACTCCTCAGTGTCACAAAAATATTCCTCCATATGCTGCACGTGCAAATTTGGGGTGGAGGGTAGCAAGGGCCCCTGCGGGCTTGGAAAGTGCAGTCCAGACTGCCCCTCAGTGGAGGTAGGTGGGGGGAGCCCGAGTTGCTTCCCCCTCCCTATAAGCTTCTCCCGCCAGAATGGCCCAGTCAGCCATGTGGTTGATTGTGCCCGCCGATGTGAGGGCCTTTCACTCCCCCCCACACACACACCTTTCAGCACCTGGCCAGGTGGGAGGGTGGAGCCCAAACGCCAGCCTGGTGTTCATCATGTTTCCCCTAAGGACTGAGGGGAAGTAAGGCGAAAAGGAGGTTGGGAATGTCACCCCCGCCAGTGCAAAGTTGGAGAGAGGCCTCAGGTGCTTAGGTCGTGGGCATGACTTAGTCCCTAGTGCCGACTCCTGTAGAATGAGATCGTGGGCAGAGACTGGTGCAGGGAACACTCTTCTGGACTAGGGGCTAAGTGCAGAACTACCGTCTGGCTTTGGGTGGTTGTTGTGACCACAGCCTGTGTCTCTTCATCTGGTCCAGAACCTGCTCTGAGTTTAGAAATTTGTCCCAGGTTCCCTGGGGTCCAGGTCAGGGTGTCAGGCTAACTTTGGGGCTGCTCTGAGAAAACTGGGGAGACCTTTCCTCACTGTGTTCCCGCTCTTGAAATGTGTGCCTAATCTCGTAAACCTTGAGTTCCCTGTTCCCTGAAACTTCTAGAAACCTGAAACTCTGGGATGGGAATGAGGTACAAAAAGAAGTGAGACTCTTCACTGTCTTAGGGAAGGGGGGGATGTGCATTGTGAGGAGGCAACCACAGGACATCTTGTGTGTGTGTGTGTGTTGTGTGAACACTTATGTACTTTACCCTGCACATTTGATCCAGCTGACTTCTTCGCTCAAATGCCAAGGCCCTGGTGGTCAGGGCAAGAACTGTACCCAGGTCTCTACTGTTCCCACCTCCTGGGGGCAGGACAAAGTACTAAGCCCTGGGGAGGGGGCACAACAGGAATGTGGCTGTGCTAAGCCCTGGGGAGGGGGCACAACAGGAATGTGGTCTACAGGGAGCCCCATTTGGATTAGGGAAGAGATAAAAGGGCATATACACAGGTGGGCCCACGTTGACCCTTGTGAGAAAGACCTTCAGGTTTGTGGTGGCATTTGTAGTGAGGGCACTGTCTGGGACTGGGTGCCATCCATTTTTTTTCATCTTGGGGTTCCAGGACAGAAGGATGGCATAGGTATAATCTTCCCCTGTTGAGGCCTGTGCCTTTGAGATAAAGTTAGGGTCCGGGGAGGAACATCAGACTGGATCCCTAAAAGATAGGGCTCCACCCTCTGCTTGTGTCCTGGTTCTTGATTAAGACAATGGGGAGGAGGGATACACCCAAGGCTCTTGTCTCCCACATACTTCCACCCCTTGAATGCCAGAGGTACTGATAAATCTATCTCTTCACCATGCCTGGATGCTGTCTCAGGCCTCAATGACAGCATCTAAAGAGACCTGGCCCTTCCTGAGATGGAATTGTTGGGACACCTCACTGACTGCCTACTCTAGGAGGCAGCCAGAATCCTCATTTTGCAAGGTCCCGGTGTGGTTCAGGGTGCCCCTACTTCTGGGGTGGATGGATGATTTTGGGTAAGATTAGAGATCCAGCCTCAGGGGCCATGCCCCCTTGTAGAATGGAGTGACTCCCATCTTTAACCTCCTGTTCCTTTTCCTCCAGCCTGACTTCCTGGGGGAATGAATCTCTAAGTACTTAACAATTAACCTCCAGGACTTAGGGATTTTTTCCCCCAAGGTTCCTTCCTCCTTTCTCTACTTCCTGTTTCACAATCCCAGAAAACCTGAGCAGCAAGAAGGCCTCACCCATCTTTCTTCCCTCTGGCCCTCCCCTTCTCTTTTTTGCCTCTTGGGCTTGCCACACTTTCCCTGAGCCCCAACTGTCTCCTGTCCCAGATTTTCCGGTTCCTGGGTCAGGTCAGGCCTGGGCCCTGGGTGTGGTAATCAGAAAAACCCTGACTGGCACTCAGAATGGACTCAGCCATGAACTGGGCAGGAGACCCAGGCCTAGATTTGGGTGGGGGAGAGGTGTTCTGCCTGGAAGTTTCTAATTCCTTAAAGGGTGACCTCAGAGGATTTGTGGGTTGGGGGAGGGGGAAGGATGGGTTTTCATGTGCTCAGGCAAATTCAGAAGAACAGGGATGGGGTCAGCTGGACCCCAGGCTAGAAGTAACATGCCAGGATTCCTAGAATGACTGAGAAGTAAACAGTGTCCCCTCCCTGTTGGCCAGTGGAGGGGGTGTAATGGGGTCCCCAACATTCATCTGGCCCCACCCTGACCCATTTAGCTGTGGCTCACTTGTTCTGAGTCACAGCTTGGATATAAAGGCACCGCCTGAGAGACACATGTCTATTGAGGGGACAGGCCTCCCCTGAGACTGCATATCCCTCCATGGAGGAAGAGCCACCCTCCCCTTCCAAATGCAAGAAAAGACAATTCTTTGTGTCCTGGAATGGAGGGTCCACTACAGCAGAGCTTTTTCCTGTTTTTTTTTGGGCTGGAGGCTGGAAATTGCACTAAGAAGTGACGAGAGCACACCTCCTGGCCCTTCACCCACTTGTGCCTACACTCAAGGTGTGAGGTGGCGGTGGAGCAACCCATTCGGGGTAGGTTCCCATCTGCTCAGGCCCCTGCCCCCCTCCTTCCTCTGGACCCACCCGTCATTTGGCTTGAAGTCAGCAGGGCAGGCATATCTGGTGTGTCTTGTTCTGTCTATTTTTAATTCCCATCCATCTTTTGTTTCTCCACCACCCGGGAGTCTGGTCGACTGGTGGTCTCCTGGGTCCTCTGTCACATCGTTCTGCCACCTCTGAGGTGCTTTCCACGGGAAAGAGGGCGGCTGCTTTGCTTAAGAGAACTTCCTGGCTCCTCATTTCTGACTCTTCTCACATCCCCCCCTCCTTCCTGAGCCTCAGTTTCTTCCTCACACACTTCCTACCGGGCTGTTAAAGCCCTGGTTCAGGTGTGGGTACTGAGAATGCAGCGTTTAGAGTCCCTCATGCACAGCTGGAGACCCTTAGATCCCCACCCACTCCTGGTTCTCAGAGATCCTCTGAGAAGAGGCCTAGGGAAGAGTTTTGCTATTATTGTACTAGGCCTGCCTCCTGGGATCTCTAAGCCCTGGAGGCTCTTATTTTGTTTTTTGCTTCCCCTCTGAGAGGAGGGTGGGGACCTAGCTGGTAACAGGACCCAGGTGTCCAGACTGAGCAGTGGCTCCTCCCCTCCCCGCATCTAGCTTCCAGAGAAGGGGCTGGGGCCCTCTAGTCCTAGCTAGGTTTCAGGCACAGCCAGGGACCCAGGTGCCAGACTCCAGGCTTGGGGGTGGGGTGTGTGTTAGTGTCCCCTCCTCCTCAATCCGGAGAGAGGGCCTGGGGGGAGGGGTGGTCACATTCCTGGTTGCTGAATGGCCTGGGGGGCGGGGCCCGGTTGTCATGGCGATGGGGAACGTGTTTGTGGGGGGGACCACGTGCCTTTCCACCCCCTGCTCTCACACCCCAATGTCTCCTGGTAGTGGGGAGGGCCCAGTTTGTGCTGGGGGGAGGGGTCGGACCTCTGTCCCCAGAGGCCATAGGGCCAGGGGGGAGGGGCCCGGGACCCTGAAGAATCCATGCCTGGAGCAAGATGCCCCTCAGATTTCTTGCCCCGGAACTCACCCCCTTTCCTCTGTGTGTCTCAGCTCATTTTCATCCACCCAGCTTCTCTGGCTCCCCAGACCATCCCCCCACCTCTTCCAGTCAGGCATTCTGTCCTAGTCCCCGTGTGTTAATCACTGCCTTGGCTTGTCTGTCTCTTCCCTATCTGCGTCTGGGGCCCCAGTCAACATGGCCACCTGGCCTCTGTCCGGCGGGAAGCCGGCCGCTGGGGCTGCTGCAAGTGTTGCTGGGAGTTGTAGTTGTCGGCCCCCGCCTTCCCCCTCCCCCAGCTCAGCTTGGCCTGGGCTCCCAGGGCCTGATCTGGAAGAGTCTGGCTGGGTCACTGCCTCTCAGTTCCCTGACCTCACACTTCTGGACCTTCACCACAGCACTCAGTGTGCCCCCAGGAGTGTGGAGCAGGGGTCCAGTCTTGAGATCTGGCTCCAGAGACCTGCCCCCAGCCTAACTTGCCATGTCATTTTAGACAAATTTTCTGGGCCTCAGTTTTCTCGTGTGTAAAGTGAGAGTTTGACTGCTTCAGGTGACTTTCAAGTGTTGCCCAGAAGCCTTTGGAGGCTGCTACTGGGAGGGAGGGTGTTGATAGCATGCTCTTGTCCTCATCCATCCACTTCACCCAGAGCAGGCTGATTTTGTGCACTTAGTGCTAGGCTCTGTGCTGTAAATGAAAACAGACTCTGATCTCAGGGTAGGTATGGTCCAGACAGACCACTAGACATTAGTCCACTGATAATATGAGTGACTGTAAAAGTGCAACTGTGTGAAAATCTGGGAAGCTGACCTGGTGGGGAGAGATGACAGAACTTGCTAGAAGCGATGAAGCTGAGGCTGGAAGACAGCTGACCAGAAGTTACCGAGTAAGGTAGATCATGGCAGATAGCTGTGGCCAGAGCAGGGAACAGAAGGACAGCGTAGTGGGGGAGGGTGAGAGCAGGCATGGATAGGAGAGGCACTACTGCCAGGTGATGGTTATTTGATCCTCCCAAACCTGTGACTTCAATAAGGTACTTTGACTATACCCATTTTACAGATGAGGAAATCAAGGCAGAGAGAGGTTTGGTAAGTTGCCCAAGGTAATGCAAATATTGGTGGCAGCATTACGATTCAGACCTTGACATTATGGAGAAGAGGTGAGTGGGTAGGCTTCAGAGCTTTGAAAAGCCTTACGGGAGGGAGTGAAAGGCTCAGATCACCACTTGGAGGGAGCCATCCTTGGCTGCGTCTGGAAGTGGGGCAAAATGGAGATGGAGAAGAGCTAGAGGCTGCCACTTAGTCCAGGCAGGAGTGACCAAGAGGCTTCAGTGGTTAGGTCAGTGTGATTGCAAAGAATGGACCTCCGTGAGAGCATCTGAATGTGTGGGAGGGCAGAATGGGTGTATTTGTTTTGTGATGAAGAGGACAACGCCAGGGTTTCCTCAGTCTTTCATCTCTGACTTGAACAGTTTCACTGCTAAACATAAATGGTTTCCGAACTACGTCGGTGATCTCCTGGGTCCCTCTCAGTCAGTGTATACGCATGTACCCCAGACATTGGTCCTTGCCCCAATTGAGGATTTCAAGACTACAGCTTATGCTCACTTTTGTCATCTTCTCAGATTGACGAGATGCCAGAGGCTGCAGTGAAATCAACAGCCAATAAATACCAAGTCTTTTTCTTTGGGACACATGAGACGTGAGTGAGGGGCCAGCTGGTGGGCACAGGAAGGGCGGGCCATGGGAGGACCACTTTGGGAAAGAGAGGTGGTAATGGTACCCCCCCACCCCCACCCCGCAGTTGGGCTGTGCAGCTCAGAGGCAGCCAGGGGCTCGAGAGCACAGTCTCCCATCTCTCACCAGGGCATTCCTGGGCCCCAAAGACCTCTTCCCTTATGAGGAGTCCAAGGAGAAATTTGGCAAGCCCAACAAGAGGAAAGGGTTCAGCGAGGGGCTGTGGGAAATCGAGAACAACCCTACTGTCAAGGCTTCTGGCTACCAGGTGAGTGGCCTTCTGCTCCCAAAGACCCTTGGAAAGCAGGTGTGGCTATGGGCTCCGGGAGCCTGGGTCCACACACAATGCCAAAGCTTTCAGAGTAGAAGCTCAGGGACTGGGGGGGTGAGCGGGTGTGGGGGGGTGGTGGTGAGGAAGGCTTCCTGCAAGGATGGTTTTTTGATGGGTGTAGTCATGGTTAAGGGCAACTATGTAGCCTGGGGGGCCAAAACAGGATGGAGGCGGTAAGTGGGGCAGGCCTTCTTAGCTTGGGCATAGTGTGAGGATCAGCCATGGCCTTAACTTTTTCCACAAAGGCTTCCAGGAGGAGAGGTGCTGTGAGCCGGGCAGGATGAGGCGGGAGGGTGGGGGGCGGGGGTTGGCGGGGAAAGGGTCCCAAGCTCCCTTTGGGGAGAAGTTGACCCGAGGTTTTGCCTCCTGCTCCAGCCCTCCCCCCTCCTGCACAGAGCCCTGCCTGCCCGGCCAGTGGGTTTACCCTGGGGCTAATCCGACAGAGGTGGGTCTCAAATCACTTGTGAGACTGGGCACCTGGGTGGGGGGTGGGGGCGAGGTGGGAAAAGGAAGGAGTGAGTGGCTGAGGGAGGGCATGGGAGGGGCCTAGCCCAGAGGCTCTGGTGCCACTCAACCCCTGCCTTCTCTGCTACAGTCCTCTCAGAAAAAGAGCCTTGTGGAAGAGCCAGAGCCTGAGCCTGAAGCCACAGAGGGAGATGGGGATAAGAAGGGGAATGCCGAGGGGAGCAGTGACGAGGAAGGAAAGCTGGTCATTGATGAGCCGACCAAGGAGAAGAATGAGAAGGGGGCATTGAAGAGGAGAGCGGGGGACCTGCTGGAGGTAACTGTCTTACCTGGGGTGCAGGAGCTGGGGAGTCCCCTGCTAAGAAGTTGCATTGCAGAGGACATTTCAACTAGCAGAAGGCCAGGAATGATGAGGGTACACCCAAGAAGGAGAACTGAGGGGGTACAGATGGGTAGCTGGGGTCCTCTTTCCAGACTCAGCCCACCTCATGTCTGCCAATGCCTAGGACTCTCCCAAACGTCCCAAGGAGGCAGAAGACCCTGAAGTAGAGGAGAAGGAGGTGGCCACCTTAGAGAGTGAGAGGCCCCTCCCTGTGGAGGTGGAGAAGAACAGCACCCCTTCTGAGCCCAGCTCTGGCCGGGGCCCCTCTCAGGAGGAAGAAGAGGAGGAAGAAGAAGCTGCCAAGGAAGATGCTGAGGCCCCAGGCATCAGAGATCATGAGGGGTGAGTTATCCCAGTGCTGGGAGGGCTCAGCCACTTGTGGAGAGGAGGACCTACAGGTCAACCTCTTCTGGGGGCAGGGTGGGCTTCCAAGAGACCACACCATTAACCCTTCTCCCCTCCAACCTCCCCTGCAGCCTGTAGCCACCAATGTTTCAAGAGGAGCCCCCATCCCGTTCCTGCTGCTGTCTGGGTGCTACTGGGGAAACTGGCCATGGCCTGCAAACTGGGAACCCCTTCCCTACCCCAGCCCACTTCCCTCTTCCACTCACTCTCCCCCCTCCAAATCCATTCCCTGGAGATTGACCTGGATGGGGCAAGCCACCTGGCCCTCACCTCCATGTCCCCCATGCCCCAGTGATCTGAGTCAGGGCCATGTCTTCTGCTCCATGGGATCAGATGAGACTGTTGTGTCTCTCCTCACTTAGAGCTGTTTCTTAGGGGCCAGCTGTTTGACCCCCTGACACTTCTCTTCCCCTTGCCCAGGTATCCGGAACTCTGGGTGGGTTGGAATCAGGTAGGAGTGGAAGGGGCTGGAGGTTAAAACAGCAGAGTGGACTCATGGAGCTTGGAAGAGGCAGTCCTCAAATTGGGGTTGGAGGATAGTATCTTGAGCTCCTATTCCTTCCTCCCACACCTGTTACCCCAACTGCCTAGATTCAGGGGAAATGGGACAACTTAAGAGGGAGGAGCTCCCTTCCATAAATCTTGGATGATTGACAACACCCATTCTTCCTTTTGATGACTCCAGGAATTCTGGGAGTTGTAGTTTATCATTAAGAGATTTTGGAACTTGCAAGTTGTTTGGGTCAAGAACCTGCTATCTCAAGGGTTGACTTCACCCAGTGCAGCTGGGAGTGTTGAGTAACTGCCCCCCTTTAGATCACTGGCCAGAGAAGAGAAGCCCTGGGGAGATCCATAACAGCCCCTTTCCCCCTCCCCACAGTACTCAAGGCCAGCCTGCAGTCACATGTCACCCAGACGTAAAGGAAAAGACACATTTTTTAGGAAATGTTTTTAATAAAAGAAAATTACAAAAAAAAAATTTTAAAGATCCCTATCCCTTCTTGTGCCCCCACTTTGCTCCTTTCTTCCCCACTGTTGCCCCATTTCTGAGGTGCACTGGGAGGCTCCTCTTCTGTTTGGGGCTTGATGACTTTTCATTTTGTAGCTGGGGCTTTGGTGTTCTTTCCGGTGTCATTTTCCATCCACATACCCTCTTCCTAGCCCCCTCAGTGTTGTCACCAGATTCAATTTGTAACCCACTGAGAGGACAGGAAATAAGTGCCCTCCCCCAACCTGTTTCTGGAGGTCATCATACTTCTCTTCTGTCTGTCTCCTTCACCCTTGCCCCTCTCCCTTGGGCTCTGATGAAAAATTGCTGACTGTAGCTTTGGAAGTTTAGCTCTGAGAACCGTAGACGATTTCAGTTCTAGGAAAATAAAACCCGTTGATTACTACATTGGATTCTGACTGATTTTTGGCTGGAGGGGAGGGGTGTTGGTTAACTGAAAACGAGGGAGTGGGGGAAAGGGGTGCAAATGATTTCCCCATCAACTTAAGATTGAGGTACTACTCTCAGCTGTTAGAAATAGCCAAGTTTCTGTTCCAGCGCAGTCACAGAACAGACTACATCCTTCATTCTTTCTCTCCTGCCCAGATACTATTTAATACAGCCTCTTGCATAAGCATCTGGGAAGGTGTATTTTTAATAAAAAACAGTTTGCATAAGAAGTTGGGTGTGAGAAGGTGTGATACCAGCCACAGCTACCATGGTCTTGGAAATGGGGTCTTTGGGCTGGCTGTAGAAACCACGTTAACACCCCAAAATGACCACCACCCTTAACTGGTGAGAAGGGGGGAGGTAGGTCGACAGGATGCAATCCTCCCAGTACTCCCGACGTGCTGGGCTGGATTCCATCTAGTTCCTTCCAGAGCTGACATTTTGTGTCTAGATCATTGCCACTGTCAGGGCACACGTTTGGTCCTCTCCTTTGGAAGACGCAGCAATTCTTTGATCAGCTTTGGCCCCCTCCAGCCAGGACTGTGGGCGGGGAGGGCAGAGGATTCAGGCTTGAGAAAGGGAAGGTCGGCTTGGGCTGGGAAGCCAATCCTCTAGAAAATGGAGCCATCGTCCCCAGGAACTACAACTCCCGGCAGCCTCCACACGGAGCTGCGCGCTCAGGGCCGGGCGCGGCAGCCTACGCTGCCTCGCCTCCAACTCCCGACCTGCTTCTCGGCGCTCCTGCCTCCCTGTTTCCTGCGCGCCTCAGTTTCCTGTTCCCGGCTTGCCTGGTCGTGGCCCCGCGCCCGCTTCCGCTCGACCTCGGACTACATTCCCCAGAAAGCAGGCGGCGGCGGGCGGGGCTCGGGCCAGCGCGGGGAGCCGGCGGCGGCGCGGGGCGGCGCTGAGAGCCGAGGTGAGGCGGCGCGTCGGACTGTGGGCGGCTCTGGCCCGCTCGGCGCGGGCCGGGCGTCCCGGTCATTCATCTCGGCCGTAGCTCGGTGTCGCTCCGGTTTTCCCTGCTTCGGGCCTTTGGCTCTGTCGTCTGGGGCCGTGGCAGACGCCCCACCTCACGGTCGTGCACGCGGGCCCCAGAGCGCCTCGCGAAAGCCTCCCTGCGCGAGGGGCGCCCGCCTTTCCGGGGTGTCGGGACAGAAGCAAAGGCCTAGGGGACCGGCTCCTGTGATCCCCAGAGCCCAGCCCGCAGTGGCTCGGGTTAGGGGATTCTTGGCGGGCCCGCGCAGGAGTGTTGGGCCTTAAGATTGACTCTGTCGGGTCAGGCTGGGTGAATGCTGAGGCTGGTCAGGCCCTGTGCCCTTGTCTAGAAAAAGATCCTGTCAGCCGCCCTAGGGCCTCGTACCGGAAGGAGTGAAGGTCCCTGGTTTAGGTCTGTCACGTGGTAGCGCTTCCTGAGCGTTTGCTGAACCTGAAGGAGAATTCTCAGGGCCTTTGGTTCAGTGTTCATTGAAAGTGACATCAGGCGTTTTTCATACCGAGAAATAGGAAAGAAAAACCAGCCGATATCTCACTGCTCAGATAACCAGTGGTGTTTTAGGAAATGCGAACGTGGTGCAAAGGAAACTCCTCTTCCTCTCCCCCAAAGCAAGTACTTTAAGATGTTTGCTTCCCTTAAATATTTATGCCTCTATCAGAATACTTTTTAACTTACCGGTAAGATACTTTTCATTCTGTTATCTTGCTTTGTTTACATTTAAAACAATTTGAATGACCCTGGCAACCCTGTAATGTGTTAAGCAATGTGAAATTTTAAGCTCCTAGGGTCACGGAATAAGGTGATGATGGAGCAGGAGCTAGAACCCCCTTCCTCAGACCACAGTCCAGAGCTCCTTATGCAGTAGTAGTGCATTTTATTTGTACTTGTAGGCTAGACTTCACTTTTTTTTTTTTTTTTAAAGATTTATTTATTTATGGCATACAGGCCAGAGGTGTGTGTGTGGTGGGAGGGGGGAGTTTGAGAGAATTCACCAGGGACAGAGTGGGGAGCAGAACAGGCAGACTGACTGAAATACACTGCTGAGGGGAGGAGGGGGAAGACAGAAGAGGTCTGCCTCTCCATGTGGGTCAGCTCCCTTGTGGGGAATCTATCTCCTGCTGCACTGGCTGCAGATCAGATCATAGTGCTGTGCTTTAACCCGCTGCATCACCAGGAGGGCTCCTCATTCTCAGCTATAAAATAAGATTAACAGGGCCCTCCCTACTGGCACTGATTAAAGACTGGTTATGGCCAGCAGCTGTAACTTGACCTCCAACCTGGGCCAGGGAGCTGACCCACATGGCGCAGTAGACTCCTGTCTGGCCCATTGCTCCCCTCAGCAGTGTATCTCACTAGATTAGTCTGTTTCTGCACCCCACTCTGTCTCTCCCCGCCCCACACACACCTCTGGCCTGTACCCCAGTTCTTATGCATAAATAAATCTTTGGGGGAAAAAATTAACTGTTTAAAAAAATTTGAGAGTCTTAGGACACAAAGTTATTTGGCAAATTTAGGGCCCAGAAACGCTGACGTCTGGTTCTAGGTCCTTTTCCTTTAGAAAAGAAGCTGTTCTAGGGCGGAATGATTATTTCCTGAGGAGCCTAGGTGGTTTGGGACATTTTTAACCCAGTTTTTCTCTCTGCTGTTTGTCTTCCCTTTGAAATGCCTGCCTTTGGGCCTTTTGCCTTTCTTTTCTTATATTCTCTGTTTTCTTCTTACCCTTTGCACTTATTTAACTGAGTACCTACTATGTGTCAAGCCCTACTGAATTCAGGGGTGAGCTAGATAGCATAATCCCTGGCCTCCATGAATTTTTTAGACTTTGAAGTCACCTCTAAGTGAATTTGCCGGCTCTCCTACGCAGTAGCCTCTGACCATGGACAAGTAAACTTGTGTTCCTGCCACATCTTAAAGTAAAGGTAATAGTTTATGAGGATTCAGTGAAATAAGGTCCACTGAGCAGTGGAGTAAGTGCTTTAAAAAATGTTCCTCTCTTGCTTCTTTGCCACCAAGCTTCTGGGTCTTTTGCTGTCCAGACGATTTCTCTTTTTTTCTTAATGTTCTTTTAATATCATCATCTGTTGGTCATCCTTGGTAGCATAGGGGTTAAATCTCAGTGCTATCACTGCTGCAGCCCAAGTTCGATGCCAGCCTCGGGAGCTGACCCACATGATGATGCACACCTCTCCTGTCTCGCTACAGTTCCCCTTAGCAGTGTATTATAGTAAATCCACATATTCTGCTCCCCACTTTGTCTTTGGTGAATCCTCTCACCCCCCCCCACACACCTCTGGCTACACCCCAGTACTATACAAAAAAAAATGTTATTTATTGAATTTGAATCTAGTTTCAACAAGAGACATATTGTTGAAATCATACTACCATTTTTGTCCTTTTTTCTTTTTTAAGATTTATTTTTACTTACACAAGAATGCATAAAAGAACTTGGGTGCAGACCAGAGGTTCGGGGGTAAGAGGATTCACCAGAGACAGTGGGAACAGAACAGGCAGATTGACTAAAATACATTGCTGAGAAGAGCAGCAGGTGATAGGAGAGGTTTGTTGTGCCATGCGGATCAGCTCCCTGGCCAGGGATCAAGCTGGTGCTGCTGTGGTTGCTGACAGTGCTGATACTTAAGCCCTTGCATTACCAGGGAGTCCCCCACTTCTTTGTTATTAAAGGGAAACTTTGTCCCTCTTTTATACCCTGCTCTGCTCTCAGTTCTTCTGACCACCAAATATAAGTACTTTTCCCCCCAATACCAAGCAATTTTGTGACTCCTGGCAAATGTCTATTTCAGTTCAGTTCTGGACACTACCTGCACAGTGTCACACTCCATAGGCTCAGTCCCACAAGACTACCCCACCTCAGATACCAAAAACCCAGGTGGTTATCTGGATTCAAAAGGGGGGGATATCAAAAAGTAAGATGTGCAAAAGGGGCTTGCCTCCACAGCTCAGAGCATTCAGCTCAAGGTGAAAAGTAGGTTAAGCTGTATCAGTAGTTTCAGCCATTTCCTGCCACCTTAACCAGTTGACAACTGTAAATTGGAGATTTCTATGACATTCTCAGGTTTGACAGTTTGCTAGTGTGACTCACACAGAAGTCAGGACAGTATACTGGGCCTCTCTAGTGACACAGGGGTTAAAGTCAGAACTATGAAGCTATCATCAGCCTCTTCAGCATGTCTTCAATCCCCATCCAGGGAGCTGCCCCACATGGCGCAGCAGACTGCTCCTGTCTGTCCCACTGCTCCCTTTAACAACTTACTTCAGTCAATCTGCCTGTTCTACTCCCACTCTGTCTAGTGAATCCTCTAACCCCATGTACCTATGGCCTATACCCCAGTTCTTGTATGCATAAATAAATTATTTTTTTTTTATTTAAAGAGGACAGTTTACTTACTTAGTTTTTGGTTTATATAAAAGGATATAACTCAGATTTGCGTAGAGCAAAGTAGGCAAGAAGGGCACAGAGCTTCCAAACCCTCCCCGAAAATGCCACCCTCCTAGCACCTCCATGTGTTCATCAACCCAGAAGCTCTTTGAACTCTGTACTTCAAGGATTTTTATGGGGCTTCTTTATGTAGGCACAATTGATCAAATCATTGATCATTGTGGACTAATTCATTTTTACCAGGGGATTTCTCAGCCTCCAGCCATGCGACTCTCTACCTTAATGGCCTTGGCATCCAAGGTCACTCTGCCCCCCAACTACCGCTATGGGATGAACCGCCCAGGATCCTTGGCAGACAAGAAGAGGAATCCTCCAGGGATCAGGCGGCGCCGGGTGGCTGTGGAACCCATCTCTGATGAAGACTGGCACCTGTTCTGTGGGGACAGGGTGAGAACCTAAGACAGAGGAGAGTGGAGGGGGCTTCTGTTCAAGGGTTGTCCATTATGACGCTCGTGTCTTCCACAGGTAGAGATCCTAGAAGGCAAGGATGCCGGGAAGCAGGGCAAAGTGGTTCAAGTTATCCGGCAGCGAAACTGGGTGGTCCTTGAGGGACTGAATACAGTAAGTGAAGCGTGAAGGCCGGGGGTGCCTATTTCACTTTTCAGTTCCATTCAGAGTACCTCAAGTGGCATTAAACAACTGAGGATACCAGTACAGCTGAACTTTGACTTTTTTAGTTTCAACTGAATGCTCTGAGCAGTGGGAGGCAAGCCCTGTGCACATATCTTACTTTCTGATCCCCCCTCTCTTTTGGGCAGCATTACCGTTACATTGGCAAAACTAAGGATACACGGGGAACCATGGTCCCGAGTGAAGCACCCTTGCTTCACCACCAGGTCAAACTCGTGGATCCCATGGACAGGCAAGCATATGGGGCTCTCTTCCCACCCTGAGTCCATGCAAGTGTGGACGGTTGTCAGTGGAATGGTTGGCTAGGTGCCCTGGAAAATGAGAGGGGGATCTCATGGACATGACTTTGTAGTGGTCTCAAACAAGATGGTGACCTTAGTGTTTTCAGCAATTGACTTTTAGGTTGGAGGGTAGCAGGAAGATAGTGGTTTCCCGGCCAGACTCACCTCTTCTGTCTTCTAGGAAACCCACGGAGGTAGAGTGGAGATTCACTGAGGCAGGAGAGCGGGTACGTGTCTCCACAAGATCAGGAAGAATTATCCCCAAACCTGACTTTCCTAGAGCTGATGGTATCATCCCTGAAACATGGATTGGTGAGCTTGGGCAAGGGGCGTGGGGCGCAAAGTTGGGATGAGGGTGGTTGGAATGGGAATAAGGGATGTTAAGCTCTCTCATGCATCTTCTCCTCTATCTCAATAGATGGCCCCAAAGATACATCAGTGGAAGATGCTCTAGAAAGAACCTATGTGCCCTCTCTAAAAACACTGGAGGAGGAGGTAATGGAGGCAATGGGGATCAAGGAGACTCGGAGACACAAGAAAGTCTATTGGTATTGATGAGTCTGGAGACAGCAGCTTCTCCGCTTGTCTTGCCTTGGCTGGGCCTCTGCTTCTTCAGACATCAATAAAGCCTTGCATTGTTCTCTATTGTTCTCTGTGTACAGCTGCTGTCTTCTAGTGGACTGACACCCCTAATTAGGATGTACTGATTTTAGGGACTCAAGGGAGGGAGCATCTGTCCTGATACCATGACAACCTGGGTGAAGTTAGCGAGCCTCAAGTCAGCCCTCGTAGAGGACAGGGCTTGCAGACTGTGGGCTGGAAGCCAGAGGGAAAGAAAGGGTCCCTCCATGTGTGTGAGACGATGCCGCCTATTATGGAGGACAGTGGAGGTTTGTGTGTGAGACCCATTTGTAGTGCCTTTGCAAGACCTGGGAGAGGGTACACATCTGGTTTTTCTGTATGTACTAGAGACAGGAAGGAAATGAAGGTTACAGTTTTTTAATAAGTTAAAAACTAGTTTTACACATGACATAACACAGGAAGGGAGGAAAAAGGTATGAAGGTGAAGGTTAATGGGGAACCATACTTCCAGGCAGGATGCAGGACGCTGGATCTCTGGGTGGGAGGTACAGACCACCACCCACTATGGCGTTGGGGTGGCTGCAGACAGAGTCGAGATACACTTTCCTCAGGCTTGGTCAGCTGTCTTCAGTCTCCAGCACAGAGAAGGCCTGGCCCAGAGGCCTCTTGGTGGCCACTAGAACCAGGTTTCTGGGTGAAAGGTCAGGGCTGAAGATGGGCAGGAGCTCAGCATGGAAGCCTGGGACAAATGTAGGGCTACTCAGGATGATGGAAATAAGGTCAACTTTTAGACCTGCCTTCTGCTTGGGCTACAGGCAGAGTCCTTTTTCCCTGTAGAGAGTAACAACCCCGTTCTCTTAGGTTTTGGGCACTGCAGGGTTCCCATGTAAAGCACGCAGGGATGCTTGCTTAAGTCACCGCCAGAGGCTGACTGAAGAAGTTCCCTTGCCCCAACCGCCCAAGGACTCTGAAGGCAGATCAGGAATCACCCAGAAATGACCCTCACAGGTGTTGGGGCTCAGCCCTGAAGAAGCCCCAGAACTCCAGCCCTGTGTCCCTGCAGTAGGACACCCTCACCCTGTTCCTGAAGGTAGAGCAGTCGGTCCAGTAGAATCAGCGTCTCCACCAGCGGGGCCAGCAGAAGGGCTAGGCTAAAGAAGGCCACCACACGGTTCTCCTGGGCCTGGTGGGCCCGAAGGGCAGCCAGATTCAGTGGCAACTGTGGGTCCAGCCCCACCCGCTGTAGCCCTCGCTGCACATACCTGTGGGGTCAGCCATAGACAACACTCAGCCTGGTTTTGGGAACCTTCCCCTCCCACCCAGGCTGTCCATTCCCTAATTCGATTCCAACTTTGATTTGCTACCCTAAAAAGCATTTTAAGTGTTTCTCTGGCTGACAGCTGTCTGTCCAATAATAAATTGGTCCCCAAATTTATTTTCAGACAGATTTGACTATTTACCACTATCTTATTTTTTAAAATTTGATGATCACCCAATAAGAGTTAACAACTTCATTTTAAAATTTTGAGAACCTGCCCCAGTCAGAGAACTCAGAGTTACCCACCCCCCCGCCCCGGGTACATTTAGATTTTCTTTAGGGTATTTAACAAGTGAGGTTATCAAAGGGGGTCAGACTTTCAGTAGATGCCCCGTCACCTCCCCACCTTCCCCAGCCTCACTCTTCAATCTTGAGCTCATGGACCCTGGGGATCCCTTGCACCCCTGGCCGTCGGAGCTCAGGCCGGGCGTGTCGGATGACTGTCTCCAGAGCTGCCCGGTAGCAGTGGGTTCGGAGGCCAGGGCCTGCCTTCTGCAGCCGCTCAGCATATTCCTCCAGCGCGTGGCAGGCCCCTTCCCGAAGCCTGTAGGGTAGTTCATTGCCTGGTAGCCTTGCCACCCACTGACTTAGTGGGTAGCCTCCAGGGTCACTCAGCTTCATGTAGCAGCAGCCAACTGAGGCCAGGGCCACCACCTCAGGGCAACAGGAGAAATGCCTCAGCAAGGCAACGCTCAGATCCCCACAGGCATGGAGGCCTGTCAGCAACAAGCGTGCCCCACTCGGAGATGGGTTCTCCAGTGGAAGCAGGAGCTCCTCACACAAGGTGGTGGGGTCTACCCAGCTAACCACATGGTGTGGAGAGAGGCGAGGGCCAGTTTGGACCACCTGTGGAGGCAGGGAAGGACAAAGATGGGACAGTTGTTCTCTGTCCCCATGTCACCTCAGGTCACAGAGGAAGGTGGGGGAAGCTAGGGAGTGGCAGACAGTTGAGCCTTAAAACCAAGGGCAATCAGCTTTGGGTCAGTCATGATTTGCTGTAACTTCATCTGAACCCATGTCCTCACTACCCATTTCACAGTGAAGTTAGAAGATACACTGGTGTGGAAATACTGTGTAAACAGAAAGTGCCTCTAAGACTTGAGGAAGCTTTGCAAAAGCGAAATCTTAGGAGTAGCTGAAATCTGGAGCAGACCATGTCAAGCTGAGGAACTCGAAAGTAGAATCTCAGTCTTAGTTGCAGGAAGGGCTGGCCTACCTGTGGGTTCCTCTTCTCTTCTTTCTCCAGAGCCTGCAAGAGTTCCTGGTCCAAACGCTGGGCTCTCTCCACCAGTCTCTGATCCCCTTCGATACTCTTTACCATCAGCCCCAGCCCCAGGGACATGAAGCGGGAGAGATGGCCCTGGAGTCACAAGGTGGGGGTGGAAACAGCCCTGCTCAGCACCTCTCCCCTGGCTGCCGGACCCCCCCCGCGGGCTTAAATTCTCCCTGCCTACTTCCACCACTCCTTGGCATTTGCCTTTCTGAGCAGATAAACCTGCCTTCTACAGTGCTAGTCATTAGAGGACTGGCTCACCTGGCCTGAGCCTACATCCACAATTTGGGTGCAGCCTGTGAGCTCACTCAGTTTCTTCACCAACTGAAAGAGGAGGAAACAAAGTTGTTCAGCCATTGGCCGACTCCAGGGCAAATGTTCAAAACAAGGGTGGAGGAGCTAAAGATGCAGGGAAAGGTGTGCAGAGGGTACCTTAGGAGACACACAGAGACCAAAATGGGGCTGCAGGCCCCAGGCTCAGGCTCAGCTCCATGATGCTCTCAGTGACTCAGTCTCCACACAAGAGGCCCACTGGGAAGTACTAAGCAGACTGGAGGTATGAGACCAGGAGAGAAACTGAGCCACTAACCAACCCGAGAGGAAAAGAAACCTCCCAAAACACAGCACACCTGCTTGCAGGTCTGGAATGAGGTTCACACATTTTTTGTAACCCACAGACTGAAGAGTCCACAGGCTCCCAGATACCACAGTCATCTCCTCACCTCTCCCAGCCTCCGAATTTCATGTTGTTTCTTGGGTCTGACATGTTTCCGAAATGGTGCTGTCAATCGGGAGCTCTGGCTGGGGTTTTCCTGGAACTCTGAGGGGGTCTGAAACCCAGGCGTCCGCGTAAAGGCCAGAGCAGAGGCTGTGGACTTCAGGGCCAGCAGGGTGAGTGGCCACACCGACGTGTACCTGAGATAGCCCAGGCAGTGAACAGTTCCATCTTGTTCAGATGCACCCGTTTATACCCCAGGAAGCCCGTGAGACTGAGCAATGGCTCGCTGTGGAGCTCAGCATTCTGAATCCCCAGCACTAGGCCCCGTTGCCCATACCTGACTACTTCCCCTTCCCCAGGCATTCCCAGCAGCAGTGTGGCCAGCTGTGGTGGCTTCAGTCCATCCAATGCTTCTTGCCATGAGCAAGGAAGTGTGCCCCACAAGTTGTCTGTAAAAAATTCCTGCAGAGGGGAGAAGCAATCAACAGACCACTATGGGCTGCATTCTCCTAATCCCATCCTCAGCACTATGAAGCTATCTGCAACTACCGCAGCACAAGTTGGATCCCTAGCTAAGGGGATGACCCACAACGTGCAGCAGACCTCTCCTGTCTTGCCTGCTGTTCCCTTTAGCAGTGTGTTTCAGTACAGCTGCCTCTTTTGCTCCCCACTCTGTCTCTGGTGAACCCTCTCACCACGACCACCACCCCCTGCACCTTTGGCCTGTCCCCCAGTTCTTGTATGCATAAATCTTAAAAAAAATTCTCATCATGAGGCCTCTCTGGTGGCACAGGGGTTAGTCTCAGTGCTGTCAAATTATTGCCAGCCATTGTGGCATAAGTTTGATCCCCAGCTACGAAGCTAACCCACATGGTGCAGCAGACTTCTGTCTCGCTCATTGCTCCCCTCAGCAGGATATTTCTGCAGACCCACCTGTTCTGCTTCACCCCCCACTGCCTCCCCCCACTTACACCCCAATTCTTGTATGCATAATACAAATAAATCTTCAAAAAAATATTTTCATTGGGGCTGTCCCTGGTGGCGCCACAGGTTACAGCACTGTGAAGCTCTCCAAAGCCACTGCAGCAGGAGTTCAATCCCCGGCCAGGGAGCTGACCCACAAGGTACAGCAGACCTTTCCTGACCTGCCTGCTGCTCGCCTCAGCAGTGTACTTCATGTATCTGCCTGTTCTACTCCCCACTCTGTCTCTGGTGAATCCTCTCACCTCCCATACCTCTGGCCTATATCCCAGTTCTGTCAGCATAAATAAATAAATCTTTAAAAAAAAGTTCTCAGCATGAGAAAAATGTAATTGTGTATGGTGATAGATGTTGGCTAGGGTTACTGTGGTAATCATTTTACAATACATACAAATATTAAATCACATATCATACACCTGAAACAAATGTTATGCATCAATTATATCTCAAAAAAGAGGTGAGGCAAACCTCAATAGAAAACACTTATGAAGTACTTTAATATACTAGGCACTGTTCCCAACGTTTTACATGTATGAAAACATTTACTTCTCAAAGCAATCCTAAGAGGTAAGTACCACTTTTACCCTGCATTTCATAAATAAACTGAACACAGCAATGAAAAAGTCAAAAAGCTAGTAAGTAACAAAGCTGGGACTTGAACCCAATTTGTGTTCCTGCTCTTAACCATTCCACTCTTTCCTTTTGTGGAGGAAAAATTATAAACAAACCAATGGCAAAGGCCTAAGTGCCTATATTTGTGGAAAGAAATCATAAGAACAAGTAGGGGTGTGGTTTAGTTAATGTGGGAGAGAATGAAATGTAATCGTTCAAGAGGCAGCAGGGAGTAGATCATGTAGGACTTTATGGGTAATGATAAGGAGTTTAGATTTTGTGAAAGCCTGAAGGACTTAAGGGAGTGTTGTACTCAGCTTTAGATTTTTAAAAAATATTTATTTATGCATGCAGAACTGGGATATAGGCCAGAGGAGCGCAGGTGTTGAGCTGATTCACCAGAGACAGAGTGGGGAGCAGAACAGACAGATGGATGAAGTATACTGCTGAGGGGAGCAGGGTGCCGATCAGGAGAGGTCTGCTGGGCCATGTGGGTCAGGTCCCTGGCTGGGGATCAACCTTGTGCTGAAGGGGCTGCTGCTCACTTAAAGTGCTGGGCTTTAACCCCTGGCACTCTTGGGCCTCAGCTTTACATTTTAAAGAGATCAATCTATTTTGTGAAGAACAAGAAATAAACACAAAGATCAGTTTTGAAGTAGTGAGTAAGCAGGATGATGGTGGCTTGGCTCTAGCTGGTAGCAAGGAGATGCAGATAAATGTATGAAGTCACTATTTGTTCTGGAGGTAGGGTCAAAAGGATTTGCTGAAGAATCAAGGATGGCTTCTGAGGGCCTTCCCTGGTGTGGCAATGGGTCAAAGCAAAGCACTATGAAGCTATCTGCAGCCACTGCAGCATGAGTTTGATCCCTGGCCAGGGAGGTGACCCACATGGCACAGTAGACTTCTCCTGTCCCGCCCAACTGCTGCTCCCTCAGCAGTGGATCCCCACTGTCTCTGGTGAATACTTTCACACACATACCCCACATCTGGCTTGTACCCCAGTTCTTGTATGCATAAATAATCTTTAAAAAAATAAGATGGCTTCTGGGTTTGGGGCTTAATAATTCAGTGGATGCTGGTGCTGTTTATACACCATCTCATTTATTCTTCATAATGATCCTTCACACATGGCTCTATTTCACAGCTGAGACACCAAGCTAAGAGGGATCTTTTTCTCCCTTCAATGCCCATGGTTATCAGAGTTAAGGGTTTCTAGGATTCTAGTCTGATTCCGAACTTGGAAGTGTCCATTTCACTACATACCAGAAACTTATTCAAAGCTTGGATGAATAAACAGGTGTGTTCTTAGAACATGTCACACGTTCCTATAAGAGTTCAATGTAGCCATGGCTCATATGTTCATGCGTTTTATTACTTCGGATATTAAAAACATTACTATCTATGTTGTATGGAAAAGAGGGGGGCTGCCCCAGTTTAAACCCCTTCTTGTACAAACAGACCAAAACTTATGTGAAAAAAGAGCAGAAATTAACTCGCCAGATTCTCTCCCTGCCATGGGCACCTTGCCAACCACACCACTGGGGCACCCCGCCCACACCCCTGTGGCCTCACGATGATGTAGGCGTCCAGGATGGAACGGTAGAGAGCCAGAACTCGGGTGAGGTTCACAGCCAGCTGCCTCCTCTCCTCGTGAGACAGGCCCCGGGCGGAGATGCCCGGCATCCCGGGCTCCAGTCCGTGGCGCAGGGAAGGAGATCACTGCGAAGAAGGAACCAGGGTCAGCACCACCGAAGCTCCAGTACCCAGGCCGAGCAGGGCAGGCGGGCTGAGAATAAGCAGCTCCGAGGCCGGTCCCCGACGCTCCCCTGGCCGGGCTGGAAGACCAGGGGAGGGCACGCGTGAGGCGCCCTCACGTCATCGGTCGCGACGGCTCTCAGCGCCGAGGAGAACGCGCGGGCGGCCAGTGAGGCGCGGTGCCAGAGCCGTGACGCCACAGAGCGTGCGGGCGCCGCGCTCACGGGGAGGGCCGGGCCCGAAGCTTGGCCCGCCCCCTCCCGGTACAGTCCCTCCTCTCCCGGAAGTGAGGCCGGTGCCCGGCGCGCCGCAGGTCCCGCTGTCGCAGCCGTCCCACACCTTGGAGTTGTACCTCC